TTTTTTTTTTTTTTTTTTTTTTTAACCCACTAGGTTTGTTGTGTAAATAGGCAACAATTTTGGATAAAAATTACATGTACTCTAAATATTTTTTGAAACTCAGTGGTGTCAATTACACCACTGTTATAAGCATAGCACCGCCCCTGATTGTAAGGTCGCAATGCCAAATCCATTCATCAAACTATATATATAAAAAAATCAAAATATTTCATAATTAAATTCAATTACACATCACTACAAATGTGAGTATCAATAAAATCAATAAATATAAAATGTAGATTCAACAAAAAATATATTTTTAATATATTATAATTAATTAACCAATTAATTTAATAACGAGTTGGGCCGAGTCAGACTAGGTTGAAAGTATAAATTACAAGTCCAACTTATTAATTTATCAGGCTGAAAATGTTGACCCAATTTGACTCTATGGATTAAAACAACCTCCCAAATTCTAAAAAAATAGAGCAAAGCTGGGCAGGCGAATGGGCTTATGCCCATCCGTAGCTGTCGGCAATACTTCTGGAGAAATTAACGTAAATATATATTAGATGGGCTAGGAAAGTTGAATATGCTCGATGATTACCCTCATTTCATGTGTTTTTTTTTTTGGTAAGCTGCGTAAATAAAAATTTGTATAGAGAAATTTTATATAAAATGATGTATTCTTTTATTTGATGTCAAAATAACTTATCATTGTACTTATAATTATAAAAGATAAATGTTAGTGTAAAACGTGATATTTAAATTTATCCTTAAATTACAGGATATTAGGTTTTATTGATTTTTAAACTAACTAATAATTGATATTTAACGATTCACATCATTATGAACAAATAGAATCTCAAACTTTTTTTATTTAAAAATGCTACCATCACATTATTACAATTTAATTTTATATATATTAAAAAAAATATTTGTCAAAATTATTTCAAAATTTTTTATTCTTATGCAGATGAATTTAAAAAGTTAAAAAAATAAAAAAATTCTAACAAAAAAAAAAGAGTCAAAAAAATTCACTACTTCTAGCTTATTTTTATTTTATTTTTTTGAAATTTTGAATTTTTTTTAAAATTTTTTTTCCATTCGTTCTGTCAAAGCTGAATTTAGGAATGTAAAATTTTTTTAAGAAAAAAACAAAAAAAGTTGAAAATTAAAAGAGCGAATTTTTTTTTTACAGAAGTTCGATGAAGGATTGGAGATGATGTTGACACCCCAAAAAATAAGAAAACTAAACTTATGGCAGAAGAAGTAAAAGCAAAAGTGAGGGTAGAAGAAGAAGAAACAGAAATGGAGGAAGACAAACTAAGCATGTTGGGTTGCAAAGTATATTTGATAAGAGTTTGGCAAGGTAGGAAGGGAATTTTAGAAGAAGATAGGTGTTGGCTTTTTGGCTTTTCGAAGGGTATTTTTGTAAATGTGAGCGTGCCAGCAAGGATCAATCAGTCCTTACAGAAATTGTGATTGCCAACCGATTACCAGACGATTGTGTTTTAGTTCTTTCAGCCTCAATGAAGAGGACTTTTACTGGTGGCTTGACTTAGGAGAAATTAAGAGAAATAACAATTAATATGAAGAACAATGGAAGTATTTCATAAAAATGAAAAACTTACAATAGTCCGAACTCAGCCTCGAAGAGGTTTACAGCAACAGTCCACTTGAATCTACTTGAGACTACTCCTATGAATTGAAGTGCAGTGCAGATATGTAAAGTGCAGGTATTGAAAGTACAGAAATGTAAAACTGGAAAGTAAAATATGAAATAAAGACTGGTATGTATGATTTGAGTTCCGTCGTTTTTCCTGGGGGTCTCTCTGCTATTTATACTTGTCAAAGATGACCTTCGAACTGCTCTTCGAACCGTCGAACTGCTCCTCCATGATCGCTGATCATGTTGCCTTAGAAGTAGCTCCATTATGCCACCATTTGCAGTTAGGCTTCCCTCCTGTATTTGAATTTGAATATGAGTAACCGTTGAAGCCACGTCACCTTGCGTTTCTTTACTGATCCAATGTTGCTCAGACCATGTGAGAACCAATTATCATTACCACGTGTACGATCAGGATTGGAGACTTAAATTATTTTCCAATAATACCCTTATTCTGCCACGTGTCGGATTGTAACTGGCTTTTACAAAATATATAGCTAACATTACCCCCCGCACTAATATACCCAATACTTGGTGATATTAGTGGACCAAGAAGCTTTTCCCGCGCTTTTGGATCGTGTATGGAATTCATCTCCAGGAAACATAACCGTCACCTATTTGATGATTATTTGCATTAATTCCCTTTTGATTCTGTTGGATATCCTAACACCTTAGTATTCGAACAGAACAGACCATGGCTAAACCAACTCCCCTTTCTACTGATCAAGCATACGAAGAGTCATTGGGTAATGCTGATCCCCCTCGAAAGAACCTCCACGCATTCATTAGCCACCTTTATCCACCTTCCTATATTCAGGTTATGGATGCCTTTGCAAATTATCATCCTTTGGACCACGAATATATCGCCCTTAAGACTTCGATTCGACAAACTACAGCCATAGATACAAGAAGTTCTTCCTCTGATTCTTCCTTGTATTTCGAACAAACTGCTTTCGATCCCTCGATTCAGCAATTTGCAGCCATGGATTTAGGAAAAAATTCTGCATGGGATGAGGCTACAACTTCTTCATCTCCTGGCTCTCTGTTTGAGATGGATGATCTGCCAAGAAATTGGCTAAAACCTGCCCTTTTACTGCCCTTTGAGGGACATATTCTAGATGAAATTCTGATAAGGCAAGTATCCACTTGCCAATTCTTCCCCTCAACATTGGTCTAGATAACATATATTTAACCAAATCTGTGGTTGCAATTACCAAGACAGTTGTAGGCAAAAGATAATATCTTAATTTTATTACAGCAAAATACAAAGCAAGACACAGCTTTTCAACAGCTGAATATTTACATTCAAAAGAATTTAGAAACCTACTAAGGTAATAAACAGCTTGCTCCTTGCCTTCTTCATTGTCTTGGGCGAAGAAAGCTCCCAATGAATCCTCTGTTGCAGCTATGTATAACTTCAAGGGCTTGTTCCCCTTTGGTGGCATCAGCACTGGAGGGTTAGCCAAGTAGGCCTTGATACCTTCGAAAGCAATTTGATGCTCTGCTGTCCACACAAATTCCTCTTCATCTTTCAGCCTTAACAAGGAAGAAAATACTTTAGTTTTCCCTGCAGTGTTAGAAATGAACCTTCGAAGAAAGTTAACCTGCCCAAGGAACCTTTGTAATTCTTTCTTACTCGATGGGGGTTTGGCTTCAATGATTGCTTTGGCTTTATTCTGATCAATCTGTATTCCTTTCTTGTGAACAACATAGCCCAAGAAATTTCCAGATGATACACCAAAAGCACATTTAAGAGGATTGAGCTTTAACTTGAACTTCCTCATCCTTTCAAAAGCTGCTTCTAAGTGAAACAGGTGCTCTTCCATGGATTGGGATTTAACTACAATATCATCAATATAACATTCCAGATATCCTCCAATAAGATCATGAAAGATAGTGTTCATGGCTCTTTGGGCCGGAGCTGCACCAAATCATGAAAATCGCTGGGGAGAGCTTTCTCGGCTCTACTTTCTTTCCCTTATTGTTTATGAGTTTGGGGAAACTTGAGTTTGAATTT